AAATAAATTTGGGAATAATCGAAATTAATTGTGAAATCAAGCGAAAGACAACCATGAAATAAAAAAAATAATTGTTTGTACGGAAAGTAAGGACCTACGTACATCAAATTGTTTTTAAATTAAGCGTCGACAGAAATATTATCGTTGAACTTTTAAAAGGTAAGCTTAAATATTAATGCAATACTAAAATGCAGCGATCAGTCTTGAGTTTTATAGTTTATCGTTGCCTATCGCATCTACTCCTCCCTACCAATCAAGAGCCCTAACTTAAATGGCGCCCGATAGAGCGACTTTTAAGCTAGTCATACCTACATATGCTTCCATACACTTCTTCAATTAACCACTTGGGAAATAGAAAAGAAAGAGACGTAACTGACAGGAAATAGGATCATGGTAAAACTAGGTCATGGTTTATGTTCAATTGTAGTGGTCGTCTGCTTTTTATCAAATGTTTTCTTTTGCAAATCTTTATTACTGCAATCCTAAAGAATTTTTTCATTATAGTGATTTCTTGCTTTATATTCAGTTGTTCTGTTAGTTTGCATTTTATATACAGCAGTATGTTCTAACATAGGTAATTTTGTCAGCTTTTGTAATGTTCTAAAAGCCTGATTTAAGCATAATGTTACCCTAAAAGATTTTTTTCTGAATTTACCCTGCTGAAAACTGTGGATACGTTTAAAATGGCCATGCTCTTTTTATGTTAATACACTAATCACAATATATTCCTATTCCTATATCCTACTCGTATTTATTTTATTTTAATTTCACTTTGTTTTTTTATCGCAAATCTCATACCGTTATTCTACAACCATTAGTCTCGTTGACATATATATATATATATATATATATATATATATATATATATATATATATATATATATAGATAGATAGATAGGATAGGTTAACGTTCCATTGAGATTTAAACACACATCCTTAATAAGTGTTGTGTTTTTGTTATTTCTCCCAAGTCTTCTTCCGGCATCCATTTACTCAAGCATATCAAGTACGTTACGCACAGCTTTCCTCTGTCCCTTTTTGCCTCAATCTCTCCCGTGTGTATCAGACTTTTTCAATCCCTCCTTCGTCATTACGTGCCCCAGAAATTTCAACTGTCTCTTTCTGATATTATGTATAAGTTCCGATATTGTTTCCATTTTTTTTCTAAAGCCACGTCGTTGTTCACATGTTCGGTCCCTGTTAACCTCAACATCTTTTTGTAGAACTACATTTATAAATCAATAAATACAAAAAAGAAAATAGATTTAGCTATAAAATACTTGTTTGATGTCTAAAAACTTTTAATTAGCATCAGTTCATCGCGACTAATATACAGGAAGAGATGTGCGATAAAAACACATTTGTAAATAATGATGAAGAGTTAAATTTTTGCTATAACCTAACGAGGTAATGTTAATATTTATTTTTAACGATATTTTAGCCATTCTTCGATTATTTATTTGTATATCTTTTGCTTGTTAGGTATTTTATTTCATTATTTATTGTTTTTCGACTATCAATTTTTATATTCTTCTTTGTGTGTGTGTCCTTGTTTTGTTCATTTTATTTTCATTCGATGTTTTTTTTCCTTGATTTTTTTTTTGCTTTTCACTTTCGTCCAACTTACTATATATTCTCTCTTCCCCAATACATTCCATCTTATGCTGCTTTCTTCCTACTTTTTAGTGAATGCGGATATCTTTTATCGGGTCTTCATTTGTTTTCTTTCGCTTATTTTTCCTACATCTTAAATGTCTGCATTTTCATCAACACTTTTTATTTTTTCCTTTTCGTTTCATTATTTTTCCTCTTTTTATTTATTTTCTTTTTTTCCCTTCATTTACGCCCTTACTTTTTATCCAAATCTTCTTTATTCTACTTTTCTTTCTTTCTTACCTTCTCTTTCTCGTTGCTTCTTTCATTACCATCTTTCTTTTACAACTTCTCACTCATTTTTTTTTCTTTCAGACCCTTTTCGCTTTTCACTTTTCTTACCGACTTTCGTTTCCATTTTTCCCTTTCTTATTTTATTTTTTAATTTCCTTCTCTTCTCTTCATGTTTTTTTCCTTTTTCCCTGCTCTTCGATTCTCCACTGGCTTTCTTTATCACATATCTATATCTTTTCTTTTTTCTTTTCTTTTTCTCTATGACATCTTTTTCTCTATCACATTTATTCTTACTTTATTTCTTCTGTTTTTCTCTATCACATTTTTATTTTCTTTCTCTCTATCACATTTATTCTTTTTTTCTTTTCTTTTTCTCTGTCACATTTCTTTTTTTCTTTTTTTCTTTTTCTTTATCACATTTATTCTTTCCTTTTTTCTTTTCTTTTTCTCTATCTCATTTTTCTTTTCATTTTCTCTATCACAATCTTTTTCTCTATCACATTTTCCTTTTCTTTCTATCACATTTATTCTTTTTTCTTTTCTTTTTCTCTGTCAAATTTCTTCTTTTCTCTATCACATTTATTCTTTTCTTTTTCTTTTTCTTTTTCTTTTCTTTTTCTCTATCACATTCTTTCTTTACTTTTTTCTTTTCTTTTTCTCTATCACATTTTTTCTTTTCTTTTTCTTTTCTTTTTCTCTATCACATTTTTTCTTTTCTTTTTTCTTTTCTTTTTCTCTATCACATTTTTTCTTTTCTTTTTTCTTTTCTTTTTCTCTATCACATTCTTTCTTTACTTTTTTCTTTTCTTTTTCTCTATCACATTCTTTCTTTTCTTTTTTTCTTTTCTTTTTCTCTATCACATTTTTTTTTTACCTTTTTCTTCCTGTTTCATTTATTTTTTTCCTTTCTAAAATTAAATAACACCTCCGTTCTTCTACAAAAAAAAACATTCCATAAACATTTGTTAAGCATTCTCCGGGGATCCGTGCTGAATTTTCGACTCACGAAATATCTGCAATGTCGTTGCTGTGAAACCAACCGGAATTGATTATTTGGAAACTGTTCAAAGAATTAGAAAGTTGCAGCAAAACCTGACACAGATTTACTTAGATTTGTCGAAGATTTTATTACAAGTAAAATTCGGTAAAATATTTTACGGTCAAGTTCTTTTGAATGTTACGTTTTATACATTCAGAGAACAAATTTAATATTTTTACTCTACAAGTAAATGGTTTTGTCTTAAACTGTATGTTCAAAAAACAGGATTATAAACAAAAAATATCGATTTATCGAATAACAAAAGGTCTACATATTCTTCAAGAAAATAGGTTGATCTTCTGTTTGCTGTGACTCTTCAGAACCTTTTAGATCATGGCTCTCCACAATTTTCTGCTGTTTATAGCTCTTAATAAATTTCGTGTTTTGTTTATCTCTTCTAAATTTTACTCTGCCATCCATTTACACAATCTCGCCAGGTAGGTTATGTTGTTTTCTTCGGTCCCTTTTGCCTTCAATCTGTCCTGTGAGTATCAAATTTTCCAAGCCCTTTTTCCTGTTTATGTGCCCTGAAAATTTCAACCCTCTTTCTCTGATGTTAAGTATAAGGGTCCTTTTTACATAAAAATAGATATTAAAAAATTGGGAAATATATTTATTGACCAATAAAATTCTGAGTCTAGTAAATCTAATTTTTATCTTCCTTGATGCATCTTTTTGCTTATAAATATCTGTTGGAATTTTTAGGTATCCTGGTGTACTAGTGAGCCAGCCAAAATGAGCTGACTCATTTTATAGTTCACCAATAGAAGGGTTAACTAATCAGAAAGCTCAAAATATTCAATGCGACGTGTATAAAGGCGGCCATGTTTTCCCGTATATGCACTGCCAGCCTTTGATATCGAAGACTGAAGAAGTACGGAACAGCTGCTGGTGGTATTGGTTATATAGTCAGATTCAGTAGAGTGTCTGACTCATGAGTGTTAATCTTTAACGTTGTTTCATTGAACAGATTACGTACTGCGCTGTATTCTATATTCATAGATGTGGGGAAAATAGAAATGGCTTACCTCCCAAACGCCCTCGCGTCTGTCTGGCCTGTGGGTTGAGAAAAGAAAGAAAGGGTCCAAGATGGCATCCGTGACATTTTAATATTCACGGTCTCGTGCAGTCACGCAAAGTCGCGTTACACGCATGCTAATGAGGTGTGTCTGGGCTCCATAAAAGCAGGTCGCTTGGAGAAATTGGCAGAAGGGCATTACACCCGTGTTCGGTGTACCTTGCTTTGCGGGGCATCGTATCAGACATTTTCCGACGGAAAGAGTTGCGTCCCTTACACTGTTGAATTTGACTCCTTTGCTACAATAGACTATGGTGAACATGGTCAACAATATCGTCACGTAAATTCACAAATTCAGTTTTCAGTTTTTGGTACCAGCATTTGTGCGATATTGATTACTGACACCTTTCATATAACGGAATATTCAACCTTTCGTATAATTACTCTAGCAATACTCACTACATTTTAAAGTAAAATATACAACACGAAAAACTAACGTACTAACGAATCGTAGCAGGAATACAAAGTCGATTGACAGCTCTCATTCAGCCTACTGCTGAATATTGGAAAATTACACGCTTACATAAAACAACGCAAATATGTGACTCCCGCGTTATGTAGTTGAATATTGCTTTTCAATCATGCTAACGTAATCCATTTCTCTTGTGTTGTAAAAACTAGTTTCTTTCAACTTGAAAGAAAACGAGTATTGCTTTTATACTCAATAACAAAACAATCATTTAAATTTGTAGATTGTTTTGTTTTTTTTGTTTTTCGCTTTTCGTGCACTTTTTCCTATACAGATATCTTGTTCTTTTTTTATTACTGCTAGGTTATATCTCACCCAGTTTCAAATGAGTGCAATTACAAACTGTCCGAGCCAGGAAATGATCTCACTATTATTATCTCACGAAATTCACAAACCAACGCTGTAACCACTGAGCCTGGCAGTGTGTACTTAGACTCACTTGAAAAAGTGCAAGAAATAATTGAGCAGGACTAAATAAGAACTAGTCAAGATATCCATAAATAAATGGTTCATTTAGAAATTCAGGTTTACGATCACATAAGGTTGAACTCACCGGTCTCCGTCTGATCACCGAAGTTAAGCAACGTCGAACATGATCAATACTTAGATCAGCGACCGCTTGGGAATATCAGGTGCTGGATGTGCGAGTGGTGTAATGGATAATGGTTCGGAATTGTTAATCGGTGAGCCGAGTTCTAATTTCTATTGTGTTCGTTATATTCACTTACGTCCAAATACCTTTTTTAATCTTCTACTCCAGCTATGGGTTAAATAAAAAGATTGTATCAATAAATAATTATAATCTCAAAAATGATTACAATCTAAATATATTTTTATGGTTTTAAATAACGGGCAATATGTTGATAAAGCGTCGAAAACGAATTACTTAATCAATTTCGAAATTCCCTGAAAAATTGCTCGGATCGACAAGCATCTGATGATGGCCGGACTTGTGTAAAAATAGGTTTTAATACCTCTGATTGGAGGATTTGCTGCCGGATGTAATTTATCGTCATTTTATAAATTTGGCGCGAAAGTAGTACTGGATGTTTTTTCAATGAATACCGAACGTTTCCTTAAAATAAAACGGATTATACTTCCATTTGCATTGGGCTTCTAAAATTTCTAAGTCTGGCACATGATTAAATACAATTGGCCAAGTCAGGTAACAGATTATGGTAATAAAAGCTCACCAAATGAGCAAGATAACCGGGTAGAGTCCATCTCTCTTCGTGATGGTTGTGAGTAGAGTTTTTTTTTTATTTTTCATTCTCCTAGGTTGGTTAACAACCTCAAATCCGCCCTGCTATTTAACCCATAACTGGAGGAAGAGAGATTCATTTTTTTTCAAAGACATTAGAGCGAAAATAAAGATACAGGATCGAGTGAGAATTGAACCCGGCATGCTGGATTAACATTTCTTGACCACGTAATAATTGTTTTTAATGGACAATGAGAAAGCGCCCTTCTACAATAAACTTCTTTATAGTTCTTCAATGAAAACAGCAAGTCGTGCTCTGAGGACTGCGTTTTAAGAAACATGACATGAATTTTTTTAAAAAGCTCCAAAATATCTTCTTCGTTCGACCAAACAACATTTTTAGACGCTGTAAAAATTGAGAATGTTTAAAAAGTATGAATATAAAAGAAGTGGCCGTTTTAGAGAATCTTTGAAATTCAGCAAATTCGATTCAATTAATCCAGCGTATTTTTATCCTTTTAAACGTTATTTTTAGTGGATACTCGTATTTGAGTAAACGTTCCGTTTATTTATTAAGCAGCATATTTATTTACTTGAATAATCCCGAAATGATAGAAATATGTGGTGTGACGTCCCCCGGTGTCGCTGCGCCAAACGTGACGTCTGCCTGGCCGCGCCCGCCGTGCTGTCCTGGTCGCGGCGCCAATTGTGACGTCACCCCGTCTGTCTCCGCGTCGTCGCCGTCCTATCCTGTCCTGTGACGACCAATGTGACTTGGTATTGGTCGCGACACCAAACGTGACGTTCTAACCTTTTGCTGATTCGGATGGGAATCTGTTTAGATTCGGTATCAGCCTTGTTGTTCCCAGCTCGCCTCCAACGTCTGGTTACCGAAGTAACTGTTTTGATTTCTAGTCTAACCTACCCACGTTGTGATTTGATCTTAGGTAGACGAAATCAATCAGTCGCCGGGCTGTAATGCAAGTCGAGTCCGGACAAGGGTAACACCGCACAAGTATATGTAAAAGAAAATAAAGTAATAACTCGAAAAGTTCAAATGTGCTAAAAAAGGATAACAATACTTTATATCTGGTTTCTGAATACAGGACTGCATCTTCTTCCCAACCCGCTATATGGATTTGTGACACTTTGTGTTTGTTAGGCGAGTCTTAACATCTTAAATTGTTTGTTCTTTAAGAAACTGGTTCTTGGTGTATCTTCAGGCGATATTCGTAAAACTTGTTTTGGTGGTGTGAGTCTAAGTCGTTCTTCAAAAATAAATTGTTCTTGGTTAGAAGTTGAGGTCGTGATTGCGTGGAATCTTAGCTTTCTGCGAGGCGTCTGCGAGCTCTCAGCTTACTGCAACTGCTTGCCCGTCTGTCTCCAACCCCAACTGCCAACTGAACTTACTCATTGCGACTCTGCTTATATGAACGCCGACCAAAACCGGGGTGGGCCTGTCGGGGGTTGAGGTTCCTTGATAATTCTAAATCTGCATTAAGGGTTTTTCTTTGTTCTCGGTCAGGAAGAATTATTAATTTTCATTTTTGGAAGTCTTTCGTCATCCAAATTCTTCCTTTCTCATATTGGTATCTCACCCATACCCTCAGAGGGTGTCAACGGGTTTCCCCTCTCTCTCACAGTGACATCTCACACCGATCCCTTCAGGGGGCGTCAACAGGCCTCCCCTTCTTTTTCACATGATTACCTTCACCTACCGCTTACGCCCAGCGGCGTGGCTGTGGCTGCACTAGCCTCGGTTTAAAAAATCTTGCTCAAAGAAAAAAAATTATTTTCCTTTTTCTTTTTCTTTTCTTTCTTTTTCTTCTTCTCGACAACAAATCCTTAGACTCTTATCTTAACCGAATGTCACCTGGACTTTATCAATCGAGACCTTCGCCAAACAAGTGGGTGGTCATCTGAAGATATCCACAGCCAATTATTCGTTCTGATAAAATAATTTTGCTATCATGGCCAGCTCTTGACACAAAACAGGTGCCTTTTCCAAACGACATCTCCATAGATAGCTAATGGGTCAGTCTTTCTTTCTTTGTAACTGGGGTGGTCCAACGGACATTTTGTTTTTCGGTCAGTGCATGTTTAATTAATTTTTATCTCTCAGTTTCTGTTTCGTAGGCCACTTGACCGACCTGAAACCTTTACCATGGCAGACGGCTATCTTTTATTCGGTGCATCGTCATAAATCAAACTAAATCCGGTGTCTTACTCTCTTCACTAATGAAAATAAAATATTTCCACTTTTCTTTGTTAAAAAAAAAATAACATCGCTTAGTGTCCTTTTCGTGGTGGCTTCTTATCACCTAAATTTAATTCTCGCCTTTTCTTTTTTTCTTTCTTTCTCGCAACCCTAAATAGTGTCACAGTGGGATTATTACAAAATCTATTCCAAAATTCTCTTCGTTTATATTTGGATACGAATGAGTGCAGATATGAAAGGTTTCGGGAGATCTACGATGAGAGAATTTTCGCTTAAAGGCATAAATCTGCCATGTAAGACTAACTGTTTCTTTGCGGCTCAGTTGGTTAGAGTCTTTCGGATTCAACGCTAGCCGCATCTGCCCAGAGGTTACTGGCTCGAATCCTGTCATAAAGCGTAAATTTTACTTTAATAGCATTTATCGAACATTCAGGCCGGCAGATGGGAATAAATAAATATATCTGTTCAAGGAATAAACATGGCGTTTATTCAATTACGAGTATCCACTAAAAATACTGTTTAAGGTGATAAAAATATACTTATATTTATATGACCGCTGTATATAAAAATGTTATTATCGTAATATCAATATTACGAAGAAATTTTGAAAAATGATGTGCTTTTTTTACTGAGAAATAAAAACTAAACAAATCCCCGATATAAAATGCATTTCATTTTTCATTTTTATTTCTTGTCTCGTTGAAAAAGGACATAGGCGTGCTCGAAAATTTCGATTTTAAAAGCTTTCTCATGCATGCTTCCACTTGGTAAAAAGGTCTACCAATATACAATAGATATTATTAGTTATATTCCAAATATTGTTATTATTTTTCTTGTTTTTTATATCTCAAATTTCATTCACTGGTCTATTATATATATATATATATATATATATATATATATATATATATATAAAAGTGAAAATATAAGTCAACACTTAAAGGCGACAGTCTGTTTCATATATATGCAATCGAAACAGACTGTCGCATATAGCATGAAAACAGTTTTTCCATGTTCACTTTTATATTTACACACGCTCTATCTCTGATATTGAGCACTTTATTCCATAAATATAGCACACCTTAAGACTATATTTCTTTTATATATATATATATATATATATACTGAGTTTAACATACATTGGCAACGGTTTCATGCTTAAAATTATAATTTTGCAAATGTATGTTAACTTCAATATATATATATATATATATATGTGTGTGTGTGTGTGTGTGTGTGTGTGTGTGTGTGTGTGTGTGTGTGTGTGTGTGTGTGTGAAAAGTGTGTGTATATAAATATAAATAAATATATATATATATAGAATTATTTATATATTATATGCGCGGTACTTATTAGAGAGCGCTCAATATGAGAGATAGAGCTAACATATTTGGTTGTATTGATGTGAGTGTACATACATGCGAGGAAATACATGCATGTGAGTATACATACATGCGAGGAAATATTATTCACTGGAAAAATAGAAAAATGCTCTGATTGCTGACATTTATACATTCACGAGACATTCACGAGAAATTTTCGCTACACATCCAATCTTTGAATTTCAACATACAAATGCGTATGTATAGACACAACACCACCCATATACATACATATGTCAAATCCGAAACTGTCCACATATCTTTATATATGTATGAGTCCTGACGGACGAGCAAGTGTATATATGTGTCTGCGTACCTCACCGGATGTACGGGCATGCATCTATGTTTGCGTTAGCACGATGACATCACGACGACGATTCCCCCCACTCCCATAATAACACTAATACACGCAATCTCCATAAACTCAAAATTTTAAAAAAATTAATCAGTTTGTCTGAGGATCGCAAAAGCGTTAAACCCAGGGTCACAAACTCACATCAATCAACAAAATATATATATATATATATATATATATATATATATATATATATATATATATATATTGAAGTTAACATAAATTGGCAAAATTATAATTTTAAGCATGAAAGCATTGCCAATGTATGTTGACATCAATATATATATATATATATATACCGGGTGTCACAGCAAAATTGTTCATTTGTTAGATTAAGCTTTGAACTGTTATATCTTAGAAATGATTAAAGATATCTTACTGGAATTCTCTAAGTTTTATAAAACACGACTGGAATCTACTTTGAACAATACGAATGCATTTAGCCCTAAGCTGAAATGATGACCCCTCTTGCTGTTCTGGCTTC